AATATTTCAAATGAGATTGTATGATATTTCATAGATACGCTTTAGGATATTTTCCAGAACTCAAAGGAAGCCCAGCCTATATCCTTAAGTGTTTTGTCTCTAGGGACCTCAATTGAGATTGATCTTCAAGTGTTATGCTCGTTGTCTGGCTTCCTTCAAATGTTTTCAAATGCTACGAGGAACGAATAGATATGGTCAAGCGTGGTCGTATTCGTATCTTGACTTTGAATCAATCCCATGAATCTGTACTCTCGTTGCTAATTTGCGAACTTATCGTCGAGTTTAACCGTTGCTAACTTCTCTAGTCGACTTTCTTAACACAGGCCTCTCTTTGCCTTTCACTTTCGAATCATCTTGTAGTAAGTCTTAATCGATGATTCAATGTACAGCGCTTTCTGAACTTGTCTCTACATGTCATTCATTCTTGACATCTCAAAATCTCAACATCTCAACCTTGCATGTAGCCATATTTATCCCTGATATTATGATGCTTGAACTATGTATCTACCTATGCTACCTATCTTTCGACACCCAAAGGCAAAATTATTGAGATACTCTCTACGCCGAATCCTATTCCCGTGTTCAATGAGAAGCCAGCCCATGAATTAAATACGCGCAACTTCAACTCACCTACCTTTTCACAGCCACAATCATAATCCTCTTCTTTGCCACTTCTTTTTCTCCCATTTCTCGTATTTCTCGTCTAATCTTTTGAGAAAGCGCCCCCATCTATAATTTTCTAATGTTCCCCGTGTTTTCTATGCTTTTCATGCTTCCTACGCTCTCCATGATCCGATCTCGGGGCCACCAACCGTTCAATCCCCCCACTCCTTCTCGTCCTCCCAATATTCACACCATGTGACTCCCGCAGACTTGCTATTGGAGTAGGATGCTGAACACGAATTTCTGGAACTGGTCTCTCTCTTCTACGATCCCCAATTGCCTCAAATCGTCTACTTTCACCATGCAACTCCATTCGCTCAACACCTGATATACCACCACCTGCACGTTCCTCGTCCGTTTCCTGAATTGTGGCAGGACGATATATATCCATATCTATTCTTACTGCAAATTCAGGCGTTCGTGATCTTTGACCCAGTACTTCATTTCCACCAGCTGTATGTCTTCTCACCCCATCCCTACGTATCTCTGGACTAACACCCGACAACTCCATTGCATCCGGATACGAACTCCGGAAAGTAGGAGGGGTAGGGCCTGCGATTCTTTCATGTCCATGTAGCATCATATCTTGAAAAGCATCATGAACTGCACGTTTTCGAACATCGTTTTGATTGTTATATCCGTTGAGATGGTAATTGTGGGGAGTGACGGGGTAGGTTGGAGCTCTGGGGTTGTTTTCCCATGCGCTGGAGGAGACGGTAGTGCGTCGTGGTGGGGGCATGACTGTACTCGTACGAGGATCTGGAGGAGGCTTTATATGGCCGGGCCGGGAATTGTGGGGTTCTTCGTCCTCCATTAGCGATACAGGTCGAAATGGGATCGGAAACCCAAGGGGTGATGTGGCGGATCTGGGTGGTGAGCTTGAGTGTTGGTTGAGACTTGGGGGTAGTTTCGGAGGCAATGGGAGAGGGAGTAGTTTGCCTTCTCTTTGACGTGCTTGGTAATTCTTGAAGAGTCTCTTATCCTCCTCGTATTGACGCCGTCCTCTGGCTGTATCTTCGTAGTAATCCTCATCTGATTCCTCACTTTCCTGAGGACTGTTCATAAGTTTTCTCGCTCTTCGCTGTCGAAGAACCTCTTCCTCATTACGACGATTGATAATTGCTAGTTCTGCTAGGTGTTTAGAATTTAATTCTTTGGCTTCCTTTCTTGCTATTGATGGATGCTGCAAATGGGAATGTGGTACAGGCTTTCTTACAGGAATGACTCGAGATGAGATGGGTGCTTCATAGTTTGAATGATGGCGAGAGATTACATCGTTTTGTGCAGCAGCGTCTCGCACAGGGTCAAATTTTAAATGAGGTGACGGCGGTCGTTGGTTAGAATATGGAGGTCCTCGCCGATTGTTACTATCGTGTGCACTTCTATCTACGCGAGGCACATATTCAGAGGAATTGGCCGATGTCGATAGTCTAGCAGCTTCTCTAGGACTTCCCACATGCAAGTTTCCAGAACTCTCGTAGGGCATTGAATAATCATCCGGAGCTGACTGTGAAATAGAAATTTGTTGACCCCATGGTTTTCCGCTTGGCCCCAGATTGGTATTCGGGTAATCAGAACTCTTCCTTGTATTTTTCACCTGAGGGGAGTCATGCCTAGGCAGTCGATCTGAGTCTGATGAATGGTCTCCGTCCTTAAGCCATATTGACCTTTGATATCCGCCCGTCTTACTATAATCAATCATTGTACCACTTCTAGATGAACCCTCTGGACTATATTTATCCGGAGGGGGACGATTTTTGACTCTCTCGCGGTGTCTTTCTGACCTGACGGTACGGTTATTGAGACGTTCCTCTTCACTGTCGCTCTCCAATCCCATATTACGAGCCATTTGATGTAGCCTCCTGCAAATGAATTGTCAGCGAAGCTATAGATGGGTAGGTAAGAAGCCAACAAGATAGGTCTATCGATTTTTGATTATTCAAATAGAGGCAAATGATTTCAAAGATAATCAAGATGCGTACCTGCTCTCGATCACATCTGGCCCTACGCAAGCTTCTATAGGTTCCTTGAAAGAATTCCCTTTCTCCCCTCTGAGCCATCGAAGTCCCGCACAAAGTACATCAGGCATGTTTTGATAGTGATTGCAGAGTTCAAGGAACTTTAGCTGCGAATGGATGTGTTTGACCGCAAAGGACCACAAAAAACCGCAAAAGATCGTAAAACACCGCAAAGGATCTCAAGACACTTGAAAAACAATCTAATATGTAGGAGACTGTACGCAGTGAGACATCAATAAAGACCCGGAGGCTTTGATGAAAATGCTCAGTAATGCAGCTTAATGATCAAGATCCAAAACAAATTTAGAGTATGAACGGTGGTTAGAATTCGTAGAAGATTTAGATTCGAAGAAGGATGGGGAAGCATGTTCGATTACCCCTCGGTGTCTAAGTTGATATTCACTCAGACCCCGCATTATCATCTTCTTCCAAATGACCAGTTCTAAACTCATTTTGTCGTCACTAATTGGTCAAACTCCTCACGTCCATTTCTGTAAAAAGCATTGATTTGAATTTATGGCACCACTCCCGAATTTTCCTCGAGGAACAGCTGTTGCTTTCCGTATTCTTCGAACACAACGGATCCCTAGTATATGAACGATTGCGGTCGACATGGGTTGGCCAAGTTTTAATAACACGCTATAGAAGGGTGGTTGACGTTCTCATCTTCATCCAAACTTGCATATGGCATGCATCGTCTCATGTCTTCGGATATGAGTCAATCGATCTCTGATAGAAACCTAGATTCTGCGACATAGGTATCAAACTCGATGGTTTCTCATCTACTCAAAGGCTTTGTACAAGAAAGCGTATAGGAAGTGAAGAGAAATTGCATCCACAAGAACTTACTATGCTGAGAGACTTTGGAAGCTTTTGCTCAGTTATAGCTGTACTGGAACCATTAGTAATTTTCCGCCAAAACAGACAGCTTGAGTACATGAACAAGCGTCTTTCTTTCCAAGAAATGATTTTGAACCAGATTTGGAGGATGGCTACTCTGCATAGTAACTTTTCAAATAATCACATCATCTGAAAGACAGTCTCTCGTCAGCTTCTGATGCCCACATTTCCAAATCTCCAATGCCATCTTTTGAACTCGACGCCCCTTTTTCTCGATTCTCAACTTCCTCTCAGGACTTCCTGATCAAGAATTTGTTATCAACATATAGGTACACACCCTAAATATCGAAATTTAGAACGAAGCAACAAATCCATAACGATACGAACACATCACCCCATTAAGGGAGTCCCAGAATACCCCATCAAACCACAAAACAAGACTCCTCCTCACAATCCCGCCCAGCACACTGACCCTCATCTCTTCTCCTCAAACTCACGATCCATTCTCGCCCAGCCCATCACTTATCGTTCGACGTGCAACAAAACACCTTACCTCTTCCCCAAATCCCCTATTCCTTCCGATTCCTTATATCTCCTTAAATACTCCTATCTCTATTCCACTCGCCCGAGAAGTTCTACTCGGTGACACGAATGTGGTTTCATTAGTGTGACTCGGATATTCGCGTCCGCATCCGTAACCATCCGGAATCTGCAAGCATGCGTTGCGCAATGATGAATCTTGGCGTTGATGTTCCGATTTCTCTTGGCAGCAGGTTAGTGTCGTTGCACTGCATTTTGGTTTTGGTGGTGTTGGTAAAACTGATAGATGGATAACCTCATATAGATTGTTAAATACTTAACCCAATGTCCATCTAATTGAACATCGATTTTACAAATACATGAAATGTTACAACACAATCTGATTTGATGAAATAGATAAAAAAATATTAATCCTTTGACGCGAGTCAAACACACAGACGCAATCGCCCTGGCCAGGCAAAGAAGAAAAAGACAAATCACAGCTTGGCGATAAAACCCCCTTGGCACCACGCCATCACCACGCAAAACAAAGGAAAAAACTTAAATCCCAAGAAATTTCGATATGCAACAAAACATCAATTTTCACTGTCTGGTCCTTTTCAGTTCTCGTAAGCCCCCTTGGCTCTTCTTGTTTACCTGCATCTTCCCGACAAGAAATGTAACTACCAAGAATCTCCAAGAGATTGCGATATGCAACATTCACGTTGAAGATGAAAATCACATTACTTTTTCAATCTTTGAGGCCACCAATGATGGGTTAGTAAAATGTTCGTGGTTGAGTGTGAAATAATCATGTGAAATTGAAGTTGCTAAGCTACTTGCTCTCGAGCAGAAACGAACGTGCTAAAAGGAGGAAATAAAGTAAAGCAAAATGACCGCTCGTTCCGTTCTCCGTGAGTCAATCAAACAGGATTCTCAAGTAAAGAGAATCAAATCATTTCATTTCAGATAAGAAGGCAACCCACTACCAAATTTCAAATCCCAAACTTTCTTCGATCCATAAGTAATGAAAGCGAGAACTGCCCACCTGACAAGCACACTCTTAACTCCCTCACCACCAAGGCTTGTCACAAAGCCCAGCCAATAACTCAATCCTCTAACTTCATTACCTTCCCTATCGAAGTTTGGTTTCTGCCTACTGGATTTGAGGAATTGGGCAAGCTTGGCATCGGTATATGGTGGGTAGCGAACATTGAGCATTTTTTCGATCCAGCTGGGGGTCGTGACAACAGAACGGAGATGGGTGAAGGCGAGGAAGGATTGCTCGCCTCTATAACAGCCAGTTCCACTAGTTCCTACTCCTCCGAATGGAAGAGTTTGTATTGAGCCGTGGAAGAAAGCGTCGTTAACAGTAGCACCGCCAGATGTAATGCTGCCGAGCACTGGTTGAGATGTTAGTGAGGTACTTTAAAGGATAGTTGAGTTGCGTAAAGTAGTTATGAATATCTGTCACTTGACATTGTTCTTCATGGATATTGTCATAGACAGAGTTTGTAAAAATGAGGTCGATTGCAAACACAGAACTATCTGTATATGGAGCTCGAATATTATGTCATTTGTCGTCCAAATCACTGGTCTAGAGAAGATAGTATCGTCTAGGAATCATCTCCTCTTCGATACACAAATAACGGGCCAAATACAACGTGAAATTTATACATACTCTTATCAGTTTCTTCTTTTGTTCCAAATGGATAGAAACCCAATGGAGTTGAGTGGATATCATGAGCGATATTGATAGCTTCATCAAGACTATCAACTGGTAGGATAGGAATCAATGGACCGAAAGATTCATCCACCAACATTGAATCGTTCGGACTATCAACCAAAACGACAGTTGGCGCGATGAAATTCTCGGCTTCATCCAATTCCCCGCCAAGCAGGATCTTTCCTCCGGTGTTATCAAGCATCTTTTTGATTCGTAAAAATTGTCTGTTGTTGACAATTCGGCCATAATCGGGACTTGCTTTGGCGCCATTAGGAAAGAATTCTTTATAGGCAATTCCAAGTTGCTCGATAAAAGCATCTAAGATTTCCTTTTCCACCATGACATAGTTTTGGCCAATGCAAACCTGCCCGGCATTAAGAATCTTACCCCATAATAATCTTCTGGCCGCAAGATTAGGATCCGCATTCTTCGATATGATAGCTGGATTTCTACCACCAAGTTCTAAAGCAACTGGTGTTAAGGTTTCCGCAGCCTTCTTTGCAATAATGGTTCCCACTGTTTCGCCTCCGGTATAGAAGATTTTATCCCATTTCTCGTTCAACAAAGCTGTCGTCTCGGGAACAGCTCCATTGACCACTGTATATGCCTCTGGATCGAGACTTTCTTCAATAATCTTCTTCAAAATCATGGCTGTCTTGGGTGACTGCTCAGAGGGCTTCAACACAGCTGTACATCCTGCAGCGATAGCTCCAACAAATGGACCCAAAGCCAATTGAACTGGGAAATTGAATGCACCGATGACCAAAGCCGTGCCCAAAGGTTCCTTTCGAATTCTAGGGCTGAATAAGGTATTTTGGAGGGCCATATCTGGAGCAGATTGGTCCTTCATCCATTTTTTTAAGTTCTTGCAGACAAATACAATATCATTTTTCATCCATTCTGTTTCCGTAAGAACAGTTTCGAAAGCAGGTTTTCCGAGATCGCTCTTCTCTGCTTCGACAAGAGCATCACTATTATCGACAATGGCCCAGTAGAGCTTGCGAAGTTGCTTCAGACGGTATTCAAGTGGTTTCGTTTTTTGCGAGCGAAAGGTAGTTCGTAGGAGCTTCACTGTGGAGGGAATAGATTCGAGAGAGCTAGGCTCGAATGGAGCTATCTTAATTGACGACATTGTTTCTTTTGTGACCAAGGACCCCGCGAGAGTATTTTTATGGTCGACGTGATTGCAAAAACTGATGAAGAATGAAAGTGTTCAATAATAATCCAGATATATGGTTGATCTCAATCAAAGTATGGAGAGCAATTATAAAATAGAAGCAAGTCGACCAACTGGCTAATTGTTAGAGATCGAAGCTCTTGTTATTCCTGTCCATTCGTTTAGTAATCTAATAAACCGAGGCAGGTTGCCTTATCCGGCCGTAAAGATCAGCGGGGTCGGGACAATATAATGTCTTACAACTTTATTTACAATTTCACATGTGCCATGCAACTCGGAAAACAGTCCAATTCCGTACATGCCGTATATTCACATTTTAATATTTTAGATTTGCTCCGAGTCGGAAATACAAATTGTTCGACCCGACGTACGGACGACGCCTACATTAGGCTATCAAACCGTTGGTATCACTTGCTTTGTCCCCTACATGTCAACCAACTATCGTAGCTCCTCCAATTTAGATGGCTTAACTTGTACATACAATATCTTACATATTTTGCAGTAACTTTTATACTATCCTCTTGACACCAACCTTCTTGTTCCCAATTATCCTTCCGCCAGCTGCAACTGTTTCAGGAACCGGTTCCTTAGCTATTGGATTAGCCAATCGGTGTCGAATTGTTTCAACTCCATCCACAAGTTGACCAATGTGTTCTCGATTCAAGTCTGTCTCCACCATCTTCTGGCGATAGTCTGCAAGTTCTTGCTTCCTCTCTTTTGTTAATCTCCATTCTACAGGGAATCTCGGCTTCACTTTGAAAACGTGATGGCGTGTATCTAACGGGATATCTTCGAAAGTATCGCCAGTCTGTTTATATTAGCTCATGTGTATCTCAACAACATGATATCACATACCTTTGCTTCTGCCAATAATGAATCAACCATATCACCAAGATATCTCTTGTTTTGGGCCTGTGATGGGTACATTTCACAACTCATTTTAACAATATCCGTTTCTGGGTTGAGTCTTGGCCCAACCAATTTTCTGAGTTTATCCGTTTGGACTTCTGTTAGTCCTGGCATATCTGCGGGACAAAATTCCATAACAACTTTCTTCTCTGCTGGATGTTGTTCGCCCATGTATGAAGTATATCTGAATCGTAAAGGAGTTTCAGCTGAAGGCGGTACGAATGGTTTTGCCAATTCTGTATATTACTAGTTAGAAAAAAAGCGATGTTCTGGGTTTGTTCCTTCATGTAAATGTGAATGAACTCACTGCTCAACATTGGCATTTCCCAAGCTGCCAACCTATTATAATGTCTAATTTCTCGAACCTGTTCCAATTCCATATGCGCCAAAGTCGTGATATCATCGTGGTCATCCTCTCTGTCGTCCTCATCAAACGGTTCTGGATCTCCCATATTTAGAAAGGTAGGCTTCAACTTCTTCTTCACACCCTCGTCAAATCCATATGATGGTAGATTATTTGCATGTCGAGCACCCGCATTCTCGAACAATTCGTCAATCTCTTCCATGAATTCATCCTCGTCTGGTTCGGTTTCCTGGAGTTCCTTAAATTTCGGATCGATTTTATATTGTCTTGATGTGATTGAAAATAACCTCCGTTGGGCGATTGACTTATTGGTGTATCTGGAGGTAATGTTTCTGCATGAGCAGCATCGCGCTGTCATACGCAGAGTTTGTAAGGCCGTGGCCATTGTGGTGATTATGGATGTTTCTTCTGAATGTTGAATCTCCAGATGGAAATCGTCCCGAAATAAACAATTTGGACCTAACCTATCAGGGACTAGTGTTTTATCATCCCACCTAGATCGTACTTCGGATAATCTGCAAGCACCGAAGCAGATCAATCAATTAATCCGGGAGTCATGATTATAAGAACAGAGATGTCCAAGATCCAATAAACTACTTTTAATTGTACTGGTGCAAATCCAGACTTAACAGGGAGCTCAATAATTAGCTCATTGTTATTCCCATCATCCAGTCATGGACTTAGCTGCAGGAGGCACACCGCCAAAGGTCGCTTTCGTTACAGTCGGCGCGACTGCGACTTTTAAAGAGCTCATCGAAGAAGTGTTCGCATTACACACTTTACAGGCACTAGCTCAGGAAGGATACACGAAACTAAGGGTACAAGCTGGGCCCGATGCCGAATACTGGAAAAACAACATACCAGTGGAGAAGGGATCTGGACTCGAGATCGAAGTGTTCGATTTTGACCGCAATGGTTTAGGGCACGAAATGCGACAATGTAAGAGGGGAGGATTTTATGGCACAGGGGAGAGTACAGAAGGTGTAGTGATTTCACACGCAGGTCGGTAGATTCTCAAACGACTACGTTACATTGAGAAAGTGACTGATGTTGAGATGCTATAGGTTCGGGAACAATCCTGGATGCACTCCGAATTGATGTACCCCTCATCGTAGTGCCCAATACTTCACTTCTCGATAATCATCAAGTAGAGTTGGCAGATGAGCTAGAAAGACAAGGCTACGTCACCAAGGCATCGGGACCCAGGTAGGTAGATTTGGATTATGAAAACAGCGGACTAATACGATTGAATTTAGGGGCTTAGAAGATGCCATTCGCAAAGTAGAGAGAAGGAAGAATGGCAAGCCAGACGGATCGAAAGATTTGCAGGGACGTAAGAATTGGAGGGGACGTGAAAACCCTAGTATTGCACCAGTACTCGACGAAGCTGCCAATTATGAAGAGGAGGTTAGAAGTGTATTGGACTAGTTTTAGAGGAAGTCCCAAGTATATTGATGAATTTATAATGGTGTGTGGAGTTATTGGGAGGGGCCTGGTTCATTTCGGCCACTGGAGTTGGATTGAATTATAAGATACCCCCAAGTTCATACGATAGTGTTGTGGATTCTAACACAATAAGAATTCTGTCAGAAAAAAGATCTCGGAATGTCAGACCTTGAAGCTCGGAAGAAGCTTGGGATTTCGGACTCATTTTGCATTGAATCGTCATAATACATTTGAGGAGTGATCTTGTAGTTGTGGTACAACGTTCAGTTTGTTGCGATTCGATTGCCCGAGAACAAATGTAGTCGTCATAACATGAATTACGTTGTTTGTCCAAACGGGTAAATATGAGGTTATCCCAGCATTGTGCATCGTGCATGCATAAAATTGATGGGCACGTTGATCAGGTGGATGATTCCTTGGCATGATACGCGAATTTCTTCAACAACTCTCCTATCAGTTACACCATGTTTCTTTCAATCATGAATTTCTTAACGAATAGGTTCAAAGCATACTTATAGCAATCTCTTCGTTACGCGTAATCCTCCCTCGGTTACAATGAATATTGGCACCACTGATAGATCTTGGAGATAACTTTGGAGTGAATGACCTTTACATCGGGAGCCCAGTAAGTAGTTCGCCATTTGGTACTCCGCGTAGTTTCGTTGATTCTTCCAAGAACTCTTTCTAATCATAATCAAAGCTCGTGAAACCAACAACCCGACTCAAGGATGCCAAGTCCTGCAGGCGATTACTCGCCACGTTTTCTAAGCAGCGTAATCAGATTGCTTCTCTTTACGCTTTCGTACCTGCACTGATCCTAGTCATTGTGTTCGCGGGTTACTCATTACGAAGCCGTTACCATTGTAGGAAGGTATTGAGGTCAGCGAGGCATACTGCATCTCGCATATATTGTATATAGTGTATACACAACATTTCTTCATCATCCCGACATTAACGGAATATCCCCGAGTGATGATCTTCATCGTTTTTGTCTTCATGCTTCAAGTGCCATGAATTCTACTGATCGGCACTGCGGTAGCCCGGCACTGAAAGCTTAACTTTCTTAGTCTTAGTAACCCTGCGGTATTCGTGGGGAACAGTCGAGCAAGCGTTCTTCTAGTCGGGTGTTTGGACAGAAGCTACGAGGGCGTGTTTTTGATGATTGCCGGGCAAAATAACCGAACTCATTAATATTTATTATATGATTTTTATAATGAATATAACTTTATAAATATTAATGATTCTACTTTATCAAATTTATATATAGATCTTGATATAAAAAATTCTTTAAATTTGAAAAGATTTTTCAAATACTATTTTTATTTCAATTGTTATTGAATTTCAAAATAGATGAGTTTGTGCTTATTTTGGTGAGGAAATGTCCCTGCGCACGGACCCGGCAATCATCAAAGACACGCCCTCGTACAAGGGCGTCTATTTGTAGAAGAAAAAACAGGCTGGTATTGACCAATACGCAATGGTACATACACCCTCACCAAAACAACACGTAGAGAGAGGTATTACGCATTGGTCAATTTCGGCCTGTTTTTTTCTCCTACGAATAGGGCGTGTCTTTGATGATTGCCGGGTCCGTGCGCAAGCACTTTTTCACACCAAAACTCACCCATTTTAGAATTCAATATTAAATCAATCAATATTATTATATATTTGCAATTTTATAAAATAATAAATTTTTATTTAAAATTTAATAATATAGTTTTAGTTTTTTTATTAAAGTTTTCAATTAAGTCAAAATTTGTATTGGATTTTTAATGTTCAAAATTTTTATAAGAAATATGCTTATTTAAGAATCAAATTTCTATATAGAATTTTATTATCAATTTAATTTAAAAACTAATAATTCTAATATCAATTAATTATTAATTAAATCTCTTTATATTTTTCAAATTTCAAAGTTTTATAATAAATATTTGAATTATTATATATTTATAAATATATAGAATAAAGCATGATTTTGGTAAGGAAATTCGCTTAAATTTCAGCCCGGCATTCATCAAAGACACGCCCTCGTAGATATATGCGATCATGATTCATTACTACTAGAACTAAGAGATTAACCGGCAATCTACAGCGTCTAGTGGCGATTCGGCAGATGAACCTTCTGAAGATTTCCTAATTCCTTCGGGATTTCACGTGAAAACTTCTCGAGATTTATCATTCATGTACTGTCATACTTTCTTGGTGCTGCCAAGGTAATCGGCGCATTTTCACGATGGACACACTAGAGACGGGTAAATATGTCCACTTCTCAACGCCGTTGATTGACTAGTCAATATTCATGTGTACTTTGAGTGCATACCAAGTGCTTCTCTGCAGGTCTCCTCATCGGGATTTCGGAAGTTGACTGGTGTAGATGCTAGCGTTCCCATACACCTTGCGAACTAGTTACCTATCCCATAGACCGCTGGCTACGGCCGGGTTCCACTTATAATGCCTCATTAGCCAATCAAAGTATTATAATCGAAGAGCTCTTGAAATCGTAGATTGTATTATCTTGAATATGAAATATAATAAGATTTAAAAACTTTCTATTAATTATTTTTTTTGAAATAAAATATATAAATTTATAATAAACCTTTTAATTATTACTAATTCACTAAATTCTAATCTTCAATCTCAATTAAATAGTTTTATATTTGATATAATTTGTGAAGTTATTGATGTTCTTGTTTATGCACAGGCCACATATGCCAGCCGTCTATACGTAGGAGAAAAAACAGGCCGGAATTGATCACTGCGTAATAGTACATACACCCTCATCAAAACAATGCATAGAAAGAGGTATTACGCATTGATCAATTCCGGCCTGTTTTTTCTCCTACGTATAGGCCGTAACCAGCGGTCTAGGGGATAATGTTGCTGACAATTTGGCAATGGCTCATGTTGGTAGATGTTTGTAGCATACTTACATGACGAGGTTGATATCATTACTATTTTTAAGAAGTATATAAGTACAGAGAATATCTCTTCATCTTCACTCTTAGTCTGAGCACACAGAGGACAATAAAACATCCGTTCACAATGCATTCAATAACTCGCCTACTCAGTCCATTTGTGGCGACTGGACTTCTTTCAGTAGTTCTTTCAGCTCCTGCACCTAAACCTCAGATGAGCTATGGCGAACAGTCAGTAGCTGTCGCTGGTGTATCAGCACCAGTACCTACAGTTACTGCCGCCACCGGATCACTTTATGGCGATGAATCATTACTGGGCGAAGCTGCAAAACCATCTCCCGTGTCAGGAGGAGATTCTGCCATTGTTTCGAGCGCACCAATGGTCAATGGTCAGGAAGCAGATGCAGACCTAGGTTTGTATTTGGATTTCAATAGCGTTCCAAATGCACAACCTATTCGAGGCTCAACAGGCCAAACAGACCCTGGACCACGTGAGTTGAAAGAAGCATCATAAGATTAACGTGAATCTAACATTATCGTAGAAACATACGAATACCAGAAGTTGAATCCTGATCTTTTTGCTCCACCAGGAACAGATAGTGGTGATGTACCACAAGCTCAATGGCCAATGAGTTTATCTCGTAATAGATTAGGTAGTGGTAAGAAATCAGGATGGGCAAGACAGCAAAACATAGGTCAACTCCCTTCCGCGACTGAGATGGCCGGTGTTGATATGCGTCTCGCACCAGGGGCATATCGAGAGTTGCATTGGCATACAGCAAATGAGTGGTCGTTGGTGCTGAAAGGAAGCGTAAGATTATCTGCTGTCAATGAGAAGGGTGAAAGCTTCATCGACGATATCAGCGCAGGTGACGTATGGTTCTTTCCAGCTGGGGTTCCACATTCCATTCAAGCGTTGGATGAGGGCTGTGAATTCCTGTTGATTTTCGACGAGGGAGACTTTTCGGAAGATGGCACTTGTAAGTCTAATCATTTCTTCCCCAGGTTACATTCTTCGATGTCCGAGCCAATCTGGAGGGGTTTAAACTTCCATTTGAAACCGTCTCAAGTCTTTAGATGCACATGAGCACTTATAAAATAGCAATAACTAACCCCCGATCTAGTCCTCGTCTCCGAAATGTTTCTCCGCAACCCCAAATCTGTGCTTTCCAAAAACTTCCAAACCCCGGTCTCCTCCTTTGACAATCTCCCTTCAGATCAACTATACATCTTCAACGGCACCCCCGCTCCCGCCAACATCTCCACTCAAAACCAAACCAGTGCCGCCGGTCCCCTCCCCCCAAAAGATTCCTACACCTACCACTTCTCACAACAAGCCCCTTACACCGTCCCCGGCGGTTCCGTAAAAATAATCGACACGACCACCTTCCCCATCGCCTCCAACTTCGCCGCCGCCCTCGTCACCATCCAACCCGGCGCCATGCGCGAAATGCACTGGCATCTCACATCCGACGAGTGGAATTACTTCCTCTCCGGCTCCGCACGCATCACTATCTATGCCGCACCCAGTAGCTCTCGAACCTTCGATTACACGGCTGGAGATGTGGGATATATCCCCGCGAGTAATAGTCACTATATTGAAAACACGGGAACGGAAGATGTAGTGTTTTTAGAAGTGTTGCAGCAGCCTGTCTTTAGCGATATTAGTGTAGCGCAATGGTTAGCGTTGACGCCGAAACAGGTGGTGATGGATACGTTGGGGTTGAATGAGGAGGTTGTGGATGCGATTCCCAAGGAGAAAACTCTGATTAAGACGGGGAATGCGAATTTGACCGCGTTAGCTGCGGATGAGAAGGGGAGTGGGGCTTATGAGTAGAGGTGAGAATTAGGACGGAGTGAGGATGGGTGATGTATTTAGGGGATGAAATGTTTAGTATAAGGGATTGGTCGATGCAGAGTGGAACTTCGAGTTTTGGGAGTTTTTATTTTACGTTCTAGGATACCTTGGCACATATCGTATATATATATATGAATTTGAAGAAGCAAAAATCCCTTCGAATTGATTCATTTGCATATTTGAACAAAAGCGAGAGACAACATGAAATTTTTCTATGCGTATTTCGAGTGGAATGTCCAGTCTAAGTCTACCATACTGATACTTATGTACAATCTCACTCCTATTCCAACACCCACACTATTTTTGAAGCAATATCATCTACCGTTCCACCCTGCCCACAAAACCCTCCTTCAACACCTCCACTAACTCATCTAACCTCTTCACCACTAAATCGGTACACTCATGTTCCCACAACTCCTCATTAACACTATTCCCCAACAAAACCGTTGCCGCTCCCGCTGCAAACCCAGCTTTCATATCATCGATCGAATCGCCCACCATAATCGTATCTTTGGGATCCACATTCCATTCTTTTGCGATGTGGAGAATTCCAGCGGGATGTGGCTTTGGAGGTCGGAATTCGCGGGTAATGATGGGGGAGAAGGGGGTTTGGGGGAGGTGGGCTGTGAGGAGGTGGTGGACGGGGGGCGGATGGTTGCGGGTGAGGATTGCGAGGGGGAGGGTGGGAGTGAGGGTGGAGAGGTAGGTGAAGAGGGTTTGGAGGCCTGGGATTGGGGGTTGGTTAGTACTTAGGGAGATTGTGGAAGGATTAGGAGGAGAGAGGTGGAGAAATACCGGGTTGGGGAACTTGGGTTAGCATTGCTTCCCGTTCTATGGCTCGGATTTTTTCGTGTGCCGCTTCCTGCTCGGATACAGGGAGAGAATAGATGTGGTCGAGGATGTCGATAGACTTGTCTATTCCTAGAGCATTGCGCATCTGGCCGAACCTATGGTGGCATTAGAAAGAAAAAATAACGGAGAGATACTTTAGCCCCTAGTATAGTGAAATACAAAAGATGCTTTGTCATGGGGTACATACATATAAGTCTGAGGTTCACTGTTGAAAATTAGCACCGTAACATTTGAAAAAAGATGAACAATTAAATAGATGAGTATGACTATGCGAGAAGCACTGAATGAGATTGCTATCCAGGAGAGAACAACCGTATTCTAGATTTTGATATTTTCCATTATCAAGAAACATCAGGAGTGACTACTCATTGGTGAAATCGCAATTTTGCAACACATTATTGAAGATATCAAGTCTTATTACCCAGCAAACTGGCTTTCTACTTTCCAATCTTCTATCCAACAGTCTTTCGAACTGTAGACAACCAATACCAAGAAGAGAAACCCCTGAAAACCCTCTAGAGACGTGAAAAACAATAAGAATCGTCATCTCCTATCCAATTTCGCTCATTTTGAAACTTCAAACAAGAGCAAAAAATTGATTTCCGCCATCTTTCCCCTTTGCAAAAAAACAGTCTTTCAACTAGAGATTTCCTCTATCCCAGAAACTCAAATAACAAACAAAAACGCTGCCGTAAGAAAAAAGAACCAAAAAAAAAACTCACCACAAAGTCCCATCCATATCAAAAATAATTCCTCTCAACTTCCTTACACCCTCCTCCCCCTCCCCACTCTTCCCCTCATCCCCCAAAGGAGCAAACCTTCTCACATCCCTTCCTTCTCCTCCCCCTCCTCCAACTACATCTGATACCCGTGTCGTCATACCGAAAGATCTCTTATAATCAACCCTCGCACCTATGCCCAAAAAGCTTTTACCCCGCGTCTCCGATCCAAGATTCCTCACCAAACGAAATCTTCTCCCAACAACAAATCTAGGCGCTATTCTAACTACTGATGAGAAGGACTTAGAATGAATACTCATCGTATGTAAGCTCTTGCACCAAAAATCTGTGAGATCAAGAATGGATACATCGACATCGGCCAAAGATAGAAGTGGCGGGGGTGGGGTCATGAACCCCACCTCGCCCACGTAGATTACTAGCGCTTCACCATCACTCTGATTCCATTCATGGCATATCGTACAGCTTTTAGATCACGGTATTGTAATATTGATGGTATCGAGAGTCTTACGCCCGCCCTTCTAAGTCTGTAGGATGCTAATGTTAAAATTATGCAGGGTGATTGCTATCGAATCATTGTCATCATGTGAGACATGTCCACTGTGAGTAAAATCACATCTACAACCAACCACAAGATAACTAATTAAGTAAAGACTTTTGGTTAAAACAACAACTAGGCACCTACCTATTCAAATCACTCAAGCTTGTCTTACTTTCAAGATCTCAGGCATCAAACTAGGTATATCAGCTCTTCACCATCAAGCACGCATTATCAAATGAGGCCAAGCCAGACACAGACAAAAAGCAGATTCTTCCGAGTGATACAATAAAACGCTTTGTAACAACGTCCCAAGAGTCTGTGTACCACAATATTTAACTATATTCCTATTCCTATGTTTCGCTTTCTTTTGTAATTTCATGCATCGCTTCCTCCCTTCCTCCCTCCATTGCCCCCACCATTTAAACACGCGGAAGACAAAGCAAGCTACCTACACTACATTAACAAATCCCTACTTGCTACAGAGAAGATTTTCCACATCCATAGACAAGATATATGTCTGATTTGGCGACGCTTCTGCTAGTTGGATCCCGCCAGAATCTTGTTATATCAATTTGCTGCACATTTGAGAAATGCGACACTCCAAAAAGATGCTCTTCGCTCCATAATGATATGAGAAAATTGTGCAAATATATCAATGCGCTATGATGAGATTAGAATTATGAACCCTGGGCTGCATAGCCTGAGCCATATAGGCCATTACCAAAGGTCGCCTGACGTCGACTTTCTTTATGGCTGTTATCTTCGGAATGCTTTCTGGGTGGCGGTGGTAAGGGACCTGCTGGAGCTGGACGCATTGGAAGGGTTGTGGTGGTAAAATTGGGTGTATTTGCGCTAGAGGGACCATTGCCCTCATGTGGGTCAGGTGCGTTCAGTGCTGCAAGTTTTGGTATCGAGTTGGTGGTGCTGCCTCTTATAGGTAGACCAGGATGGAAAGCTACACCTCCTCGACCCGAAATACTACCATTCTTAGTAGGAGAGCGGGATCTCGGGTTATGGTTTTCGTTGTATTGCGGAGAGGTTACCGAGGAACGTGGATCGGCATTTTTAATGGGAATATCTCCTGATGTAGGCGTTTGCGAAGCATTAGGTGAATCATCGCCGCGTAGGACATCTCTACTCGCTGGTGATAATTGAGGTGCAAGATGTGACTTGCGGTTGTCTCTTTCTAACATGCTGACAGCCCACTCACGAAGATCCACTGGGGTTCGCTTGGCAGCTTGGACAAAAGGTTCACGTTCCTATTAATCGTTAGTATATAGATCCTCAAGATGATGCTACAAAATGCAACTCACATAAAGCTCTTGAGGGGTTGGCCTCTCTTCTGGAGTCTTAGACATGCATTTCTGGATCATGTCTTCAAGAATTTGAGGGAAAGCTTCGCTCTTGGGTAGCCTTGGCGCAGGCTCATAAACAATTTGTTGAAGAAGGTCAAGAATACCCGATGGTGCTCCATCTCCATCAGACAAGTGCTCACTAGCGTCGAATGGAAACTTTCCAATTGCGAGCTCCATAATGGCGAGACCAAAACTCCAGACATCAGACTTTACAGTGTATTTCTGTCCTTGAATTCTCTCTGGTGCCATATATGTAGATGTTCCAACGAAGGTGTCTGCCACTGAATTGACCAATTCTCCTGAAACACCGAAATCACACAGCTTAATCTGACCCTTCGAATTCACCAGGATATTGGATGGCTTAATATCTCGATGCATGATGTGATGCTTGATGTAAAGATACGTGAGGCCTCCGAGGGTAGCTTCTGCGATTTTTCCAAGTACATCGACTCGAACAGGACCGAAATGTGTCGAGATTCTATCTAAAGATCTGACAAGAAGTTAGCTTCAGCATTCTAATCAAGAATTTTCACCTAGCAACCATACCCAACATCCATATATTCCATACACATGATGACATCGTTGTTATCGCTCAAGAATGCACCATAAAAGTTGACGATGTATTCCGAATTACAGTCGTACATAATTTGTAATTCTCGAACGATTCGACGACGCATTTCCTTTTTGGCTTCGACATGTATAACCTGTGTTTGCATGAGCGATTGTTTGCACTTTGAGTCCTCGAGATTTTGTGCCATCATACCTTTCTCGCCATGACCGTGCCTGTAGCCATATGTCTGACTTTGCTGACGGTTCCTCCATTTCCATGACCGAGATCTTTCAGAACTTCTAAATCCTCCCTCTTCAAATCCAACTTGTATTCGATTCCAATCTCTAGTTGTGCGGTCTGTCTACTACTTTCACTGCTAATCCCACCAGGAATCTGGATATCACTCTCGGATGGTGCCGCAGCACGAGGTGGGGGTGCATTCAATGCTAGACCTTTCACATTCTTCCTCTTCAATGTGCGCACCGAACCAATACCGTCTGACATTTTGTAATGATGGCCTAGAAGCTAGAAGTATTGACTGATGTCGAGACGAAATGAATTTTCAGAATCGCGCAAATTTCTGGGAACGATTTTCCTAGTTGGCGCTTGAAAAAGGTGCTGTCTGCACGAGCGTATGAGCAAGAAATCGACAGCGATGATGATGAGTGAGTGAATAGGTGTTTGGTAGATATTCCTTCAGCCCCTATTATGGATGATTATTCAAAGCAGACGAAATAATCAGGAGATCGAATAAAGTAGATAGTTCACTTGTCGTCGAGGATTATGGGATTTGGTGGAGGGACAAAGTGAAAGCGGGACAGTCGTTTGGGTTTGGCGCTATGGTAGCTACTACTGTAATAAGAACGTGGAGGCGCGGTTGAAGAGAAATTCAATCTGGAAATATTGTTTAGGAAATGGAACAGTGAAAAAAGTACCCAAGTGGTGGTAAAAAAATCAATGGAAAATGTCTTTACCCCTTAAATGGATGTGATTCTATTGTATTGGGCAAATCCTTCGAAGAGAGGGGTTGATATTTCATCTCATAGGCCGTTCCCATACGTACTATCTAGCTAGATAGGTATATAATCCAATATTTACAGTATTATTGCCCATGTCATATTTGTGTACTTTCGTACCTGTTGAAGCTATTCGTTCGTGCTTGTCTCATCAATTTAAGTTTCTAACAGAGAAGTTTGCATTGGGCATTATCTGGCAGGCGCGTTTATCGTTTGAACGAATGAGAGTGTGAAGACAGCTTTGGGGGCCAATGTTGGAGACGAGGGGACCAGGAGATTTGAAGCATGAAGCGCTCTGTGCTGTGTGTATGTAGAGAGGACTTACTATATGACCCCACTGATCGTTAATTTCACACAAGTCAATGGGAGATGTACCCAGTAGATAGTAGTATTGTTGTGTCATGTAAATGGAGATCCATTTGCCAAACCAAACAAATGGTTGTGTTTGGATGGGTTGTAATGAGTAATGTATACCTACCTACTTCTTCAAGAAGATGTTTTAGTTTCTATTGGAAATCTGGTACTACCGGGCATCTATCTGTTGCACCTACTAGGGACCTGAACTGAAGCCATCAGATAGTCCGTTTTCTCTGCTCCTTGTACATAGATTGTACATCGATACTAGATAGGCAGCTTTCGGTTTGGGTTAGAGATGCACCAAACATATGTACAACAAGGATTTATGATATTAATTTTATATCTAGATTGGGAGAGAGGAGCCAGTTTACCTCTTAGCTAGAGCTCATCACTTCTTGAGGAAATGATAAAAATTCTGTAATTGCAATATCGACCATTCGCCGAGACGACCACACCTAGGTATACCAATTCTGATGCTAACTCATATTTTCCCCAAAGCTCATGGCCATTAATGATTGTAGTTCTGGTACAAGCACGCAACAATGTTCGAAATTCTCTGCTCTGATAGTTATCGCGCGGATCCATCTGGCCATTCACGTCCAGTGTGGGCTCATGTGGCTGGAACCTGACCGGGCCCCGGGGGACCTCGAAGGTTAGATATGGTCCACGGGTACTTGAACCTCACATATGAGGCTATCAATCACTAGCCACAATTAATAAACTCCCAGTCGCGAGAACTAAAAGGCTGCCAAAAAGTTGTCAAAAGGCGGTTCTTTCAGGTTACTTTCAGCTTTCAACTACAATTTCCTTACATGAAATTATCACAATCGCCTTGTATGCAGCAATTGTGACCTCATAGCCTTCGACATTCTCCTTAACAATTACCAAAAAACCCAGCAAAGAACACCGCAATTATGAGTATGCGCGATCTGATTGACGGTGACGTTGAGGTTGATGAAGAGGAGAACGATGAGGAATTCGACGAGGAAACTGGTGAAGCTCGCTCCGCGGGACCCCGAAGACAAAATGGAGGCTTGGAAGATGATTCAAGTGAAGAAGAAGATGATGACGATGAGGAGGCAGCTCGTGCAGTACATAGCTCTCCTCCCAAATCTCCATTTGCGCATTATTACTGACACGTTACCAGATTCGAGAAGGTTTCATCGTAGATGAAGATGAAGAGGACGATGATGATGCGAGAAATAGACGTCGCCGCAGAGAAAAAAAGCGCCGCAGAGAGCAGCGTGAAGAAGAGGGTTTGGATGACGAAGATTTGGATCTCATTGGAGAAGCAAATCCAGAATGGGAGAGAAAGACAACACAGCAGGTTTGTTACATTCGCATATGTCTACCTACTAAGCTAATTTTCATGCAGCCAAAGTTTAAGCGTCTTAAGCGTGGCCACCGAGAAGACAACGATCAGGACCGAGAGCGAGGCCTGGACCAAATCTTCTCTGATGATGAAGAACAAGATGCGCCACACGATTATGAGCGATCCTTCGCACGCCCGGACCATCGTATTGATGAATTCGCAGATTTCATCGAAGAAGACGAGCTTGAGGATGATGAAAGAGACAGACTTGCCGAGGAAAGAGAAGTAGCCCGTCCAAGAGAAAAGGGTTACGTTGGTGGTGCCGAAGCATCAGGTCTCGATAAGGATGCTTTGGATGATATGGAAGCTATCTTTGGAAATGGCGAGGACTACGACTGGGCTCTTGCTTTGGAGGATGAAGCTGAGGCAGCCGAAGCTGGGGACCAGAACCTTGAACTCAAGGATGTCTTTGAACCTTCGCAGCTCGCGGAGAAGTTACTTACAGATGAGGATAACTATATTCGGTACTCCGATGAACCGGAACGATTCCAGCTCGATCGAAAACCTTACAAGCATTTACAAATCACCGACGAACAATTCAAAGAGGAAGCTCGATGGATCACAAGTCTCATTTGGCCAAAAAAGAACTTCAATGGAGATATGCAAGCTCCATTCACCAAAGCTATTAGCAAAGTCTTGGAGTTCTTTGTTGTGGATGAAGTCGAAGTTCCCTATGTGTTCCAACATCGAAAGGATTATCTCATCCATGCCAGAAAAAATAAAACGCGATCGGATAACCCAGATGCGCCTGAATACGAAGTAAGCGCAGACAAGCTCCTGAACCAAGACGACCTCTGGCGCATTTTGGAACTCGACTTGAAGTTTAGGGCACTGATCGAGAAGCGTAACGTTCTAGACAAGACCTATGAGAACTTAAAGTTGGCCGTTGGTATCAGTGATGCAACCTTCGAGCAAATGTTACCGGACGCCCAAACTATGGAAGAGCTTCAAGATATTCAGGATTACCTGTATTTTCAATACTCCTCGGAAATCAAGTCTCTGCAGGATGCCAACGGTGAAGTCAAAGAAAAGCGAGCTGGCAACAAAGCATCAAGATTTGATCGTGTTCGTAAAAGCAGGGCTTATGAACTCGTGCGAGCTTATGGAATCACGGCCGACGAGGTTGCTGGAAATGTTTTGATGGAAGGCCGCAAAAAATACACAGAAGATCCTCCTTTGAGCCCAATTGATCTCGCCGATACTCTCGCTAGCCCAGAAGATTTCCCTACCGGCGATGGAGTTTTGGTAGCAGCACGAAGCTTATTCGCCGAGGAAATTTTTATGAGCCCAAAGATGCGCCAGCATTTCAGAAAGCATCATTATATGCAAGGACTCGTCAGCTGTGCTAGAACCGATAAAGGTCTCAAAAAGATTGATGAACAACACCCTTACTATGAACTGAAATATCTCAGGAACCAGACTTTCATGGACATTGCAAGCAAGCCTGAAATGTTTTTGAAGATGTTGAAAGCCGAGGAAGAAGGATTACTAGAGGTTCGAGTGTCTCTCCAAAATGAACGCGATTTCAGAAAACAACTCTTTGCGGAGTTCAGGTCCGATAACTACAGTGAGGTCGCGGATGCGTGGAATGATGAAAGACAGAAAGTTCTCGACATAGCATTTTCGAAGCTTGAAAGGACTATCACCAAAGGAGTGAAAGAAAGCATGCGAACAGAGTGCCAAGATTCTATCCTTAAAATCTGTCGAGAAGAATACTCGAGAAAGCTTGACCAGGCGCCATACAAGCCGCGAGGCATGGTTCTGGGTACTATTCCTCGAGTGCTTGCTCTATCTAATGGTAATGGTGACCCCAATCGTGATGCCGTATGCTGGGCCTACGTCGAAGAGGACGGTCGGGTTCTGGACCATGGAAAGTTCGACAATCTTTCCAGAGACCAGAGAGCTAGGGAAGCATTTGTCGATTTGGTGCGCAGGAAGAAACCCGATGTTCTTGGAGTTAGTGGTTTCTCTGTCGAAACTCATAAGCTTGTATCGAGTCTCAAAGAATTGGTGCAGGAACACTCTCTACGAGGAAATGAGTTTGATAATGAAGATGGTGATGGTGAGCGAAGTGAGCCTCTAGATATTATCGTCGTAAATGACGAAGTTGCTCGACTTTATAAAGACAGCCCAAGAGCTGCTGTCGATCACCCTGCATTTGCTCCACTCGCTAGATATTGTGTTGGCTTGGCCAAATATCTCCAGAACCCAATGAAAGAGTACGCAGCTCTTGGAAAGGACATTATTTCATTATCATTCCACTCGTCTCAACAGTTGCTGCCGGAGGATAAGCTTCGAAGACAATTGGAGACTGCAATGGTTGACATGGTCAATCTTTGTGGTGTCAATATCAACGAAGCGGTCAATGACGCTTACACAGCAAACCTTTTACCTTTTATCTGTGGTCTTGGTCCTCGAAAGGCTACCGCTGTTCTGAAATCTATCAATGCCAATGGTGGAGTGGTGAATACTCGTGAAGAACTTGTGGGTGATCCGGACAACAACAAATTGCCAGTTGTAGGTCCAAGAGTTTGGAACAACTGTGCTAGTTTCCTATACATGGAGTACGAAAGCGCAAATCCTGCGTCTGACTATCTTGACAATACCCGTGTGCATCCAGAGGACTACGAACTCGGTAGGAAGATGGCAGCCGATGCACTCGAACTTGATGAAGAAGACGTCAAGGCAGAAGTAGACGAAGGAGGACCAGGAGCCATTGTCCGGAAGCTCATCAAGGACGATGAGCAGGAGAAGGTGAA